TGTGAGAGAAATGTGTGAACATTCATGAATGTCTGTGTCTGTGCTATCCCTTTGGTTTTCACATGTAAGGAAGTGAATATGATGGAAACTAAGAGCCCTTTTTCATAAGGTTTCAGTATGAAAATAGGAACTCTGAAAAGAGGAAATGGGTATTCTTGATGAAGCAATTATGGGTATCACAATCCCCCGAAATGTTCTTAGTCTGTCATATTCCAAATCTTTGTTTTTCTTTTTTCTTTTTGCACAGTGGAGCCTTCCCAGATAGTGAATTTTATCTTGGTTTTTAAAAAAAGAAAATAATGTTGTAATGGTCAGTTTAATTTGGGCAGTACATTTGTTAGATCAACTGAATAGATCACCAAAAACATTGAAACTTTTATGACCTCCACATTTCTTCATTAGGAAGTTCTTCTCTTACTTATGAACTAAATATCTGAGTGTGGTAACTCCACATTAGCTGCCAGTATGGTCCTCCTAGTTCAGGAGTGGGTTGCCATCTTCCTAGTTAAGAAGTTCATTGTTGCAGTCCAGGCCTGGAGGACATCAGTAAATTGGTATTTGATTATCTGTGAACCATTGCAATGTACTAAAGGATCCAGGCAATTTTTGGCACATTGCCATGACGTTTTGAATAACTGTACTGTGCAGAAACCTACTGAGGTTAAGAGCTTAAGAAACAATGAAACTATTCCAAATTGGGGGTTAACCTTTGACTGCTACATGCTAAGGCTTATAGCAATCAAAACATGCCCCGGAAGGCACAGTGCATGCTCAGTATGCAGGTTCTACTATTAAGTTGGACTGAAGATGCTACAGTATAAGCTCCACCAAAAAAAAAAAAAAATTAAAATCTAACCTTTTTTAATTTTTTTTTAACCTACTGTATTTTATATAAATGAGTCCCATATTTCATTGTACTTGTCCATACAAAGTCTACAACTATAGGCAATCCTATAGACATAGAAATCTATAGAAGTAGCAAGTAGGAAGTCTACAGAAGGAGCAAGTGCAATTAGATCCTCAATCCATTGAATAAATGGAACCATA